AGTAGAGGAGTGAAGAGGAGGAGGAGGAGGAGGAGGAGGAGGGCAACAGCAGCAGGAAGGAGGTGGCTCTCGCGACCAGGAGAGGGGCGCGGAGAAATGGAGGTTGTTTTAAAGCGAAACGAACAGAAACCATGGTAACCCAGGTTATACGAAGGGGATGGAGGTGCTGGTCAATAGCCTAGCCTTTTCGCTTTCGTCAGCCCCACGTATGTGCGCGCGCATCAGTACTGCGTCTCCTACTGCTGCTAACGATGTTTCGGCGATGCTACTAGTGGTGATGCGACGATGCCAGCGCCGTCTGGAAATGCCTCGTAATAGGTGTGGACAGCTAGCACTAGCATACAGATAAGGATCCGATAGAGAGACCTTGGCGCAGCGTGTGTACTTGCTGTATGTAGCCACGGACAGCGGACGTGGTGCCTGCGAGGACCCTGTGAGCTCCTGTGATCCCCCTGCTCGCACACACACACACACACACACCATTCGGACCTGCGCAACCGACAAGGCCAGCTTAATGTAAGCATGTAAGCTCAAGAGAACCAAATTCTTGGGGCGAAGAATATCAAAGTCTCCCGCGGTGCAAGATCGCCGTCGACAACAGGCGATTAACGGAGCGGTACCAGGGCAGAAGCCAGGCGAGGCCGGTGCCGGGGCCGAAGCGGGGCCCGAGGCCAGCGGCCAGGACCACGGCTGCAGCTGGAGGCGGGACCAGAGCCGGTGCCAGGGCCGCTCACACTCTCCGTGGGCGGGGCAGGCGGGCCCGACAGCCGGGGTGATCGCCAGGCCCCCCTTACGGAGGCACCCTCACGGCGCGGCGGCGGCACGCGCGCGCGCGCCGAGCGGCCCGACGACCGCATGGCCACGCCCGGCGCCAGCGGCGAAGCCTAAGCACTTGGCGGACAGGCGCGATCGCCCGCCAGCGGACCGTCGCGCGGCGCGGCGGTCCGAGACGGCGCGGGCCGACGACGACGACGACGGCGACGACGACGACAACGACGACGACGACGACGACGACGACGACGACGACGACGACGGCGACGACGACGACGGGCGCCGAAGCGGCGCGGGCCGAAGCGGCCTGGCTGCTGGAACGGGCGCAGCCTCACCGACCTCCTCCGTGACGGGCCCCTACCGGGACGAGCCCCTCACCCTGGCGGCTCCCCCTCCGGCCAGCCGCCTGCCAGTCGTGGAGCGAGGCGAGGGGGTCAACACTGAAGGGGTCGGCTTGCCGGGGGTTGGTCTGGCCGCCTCCGACTGGAGGCTGATGGCAGCGGAGGGGCACAGCGTACGCGCCCGATGCGGCCCGACGACCGCGCGCCAGGGGCCAGCGCCCTAGGCGCCGCAGAAAGGGGGGTCCAGCGCGGGGATTTATCCAGAAACCCCCGCCTCAGAAAGAGATCCGCGCGGGCCCTTGGGAACTTCTGTTTGAGTCGCCGTCTGCTCCGCAATTCGGCGGCAGCCGTCAACGGCAGCAGCGGCAGTGGCGGTCGCCCGTCTTCGTGGGGCGGGCAGGGACTGACGACAGCCGCAGCGGCCCCAGCGACTGCCTCGCAGCTGCGCCCGAGGACGGGGCGATCGCCCTGCCGTTCGCGTGGTGCGGGCCGAGGCGGCCCGGCAGCTCACAGCGCCGCAGCGCCCTGCTCCGTCTGGGATTTTTTCCCCATATCCTAAGGATTGGGGTTCTTGTTATTACTCTGACGCCTCCCACTCCTCCTCCTCCTTCTTCCTCCCGCCTCCCGCCTCCCTCCTCCCAATGATAATCACCAGATAAGACAAGACAAGATAAGATACTACAAGATAAGATAAGATAGCACAAGATATGATAAGGTAAGATAAGATATATGACAAGGTAGGATAATAGATAAGATAAGACAGCCTATGGAGTAATAAGATAAGACAAGATATGATGCGATAAGATGAGTTGATATAAGATAAGCTAAGACAAGATAAGAGATTTCAAGATAAGATAAGATAGAGGGTAATAAAGATAAGATAGGACTCGATAAGATAAGATGAGACTCACTCTCACTCAGACTCACTCACAGTCACATTCACTCACACTCACACTCTCTCATGATCACAAAACGTTGCCAGGGGCATCATTTGGGAGCCCCAAGGGGGAGCCACCCTGGCTGATCTCACGAGCCCGTTCGCGCCGATTTTGGTGGGACGCCTCAGCTAGAATTGCCGTTTGGCCTCCCCAACATTATCTCTTGAGAGCCTCATGATCACCAAAACGCTGCCAGGGGCATCATTTGGGAGCCCCAAGGGGGAGCCACCCTGGCTGATCTCACGAGCCCGTTCGCGCCGATTTTGCTGGGACGCCTCAGCTAGAATTGCCGTTTGGCCTCCCCAACATGTATCTCTTGAGAGCCTCATGATCACCAAACGCTGCCAGGGGCATCATTTGGGAGCCCCAAGGGGGAGCCACCCTGGCTGATCTCACGAGCCCGTTCGCGCCGATTTTGCTGGGACGCCTCAGCTAGAATTGCCGTTTGGCCTCCCCAACATGTATCTCTTGAGAGCCTCATGGTCACCAAACGCTGCCAGGGGCATCATTTGGGAGCCCCAGGGGGGAGCCACCAGGGGCCTCATAGTCACCAAACGCTGCCAGGGGCAGCATTTTGGCTTCCCAAAGAGGAGTCGACCAGAGCTTCCTAGTCACCAGACACTGCTAGGGGCACCATTGGGATCCAGACTCACATCCAGACTCACTCATACACAAGCTCACTCACACTCACCAAACGCTGCCAGGGGCAGCATTTTGGCTTCCCAAAGAGGAGTCGACCAGAGCTTCCTAGTGACCAGACACTGCTAGGGGCACCATTGGGATCCAGACTCACATCCAGACTCACTCATACACAAGCTCACTCACACTCAGACTCACTTATTCAGAGTCAGGCACACTCAGACGTACCCATACCCAGACTCACCCACACTCAGGCTCACCAAACCCAGACTCTGTCAGAAGCCAGTAGCGATTAAGATTCACTCATACGCAGACTCGCTCCCACTCAGAACCACTTACACTCCGACTCACTCACACCCAGACCCACTCACACTCAGACTCACGCGCGCGCAGACTCACGCACACTGACATTCGCTCACATTCAGACCCACCCACACACAGACTCACCGACAGTCACAATTACTCACACTCAGGCTCACTCACTCACCCTCGGCCACACTCAGATTCACTCACAGTCAGACTCACTCATGCACAGACACACTCACACTCAGATTCACTCTTGCACAGCCTCACTCATACACAGACTCACTCACATTCAGATTCATTCATACACAGACTCGGTAATAGTCATATTCACTCATGCACAGCTACACTCACAGTCAGATTCACGCACGCTCAGAATCACTCATGCACAGATTCACTCACACTCAGACTCATTCATGCACAGACTCACTCACACGCAGATTCACGCACACTCAGACGCATTCATACACCGACTCATTCACACTCAGATTCACTTATGCAAAGACACACTCACACTCAGATTCACGCACACTCAGACTCGCTCGTACACAGACCTGCTCACACTCAGACTCACTCATGCACTGACTCACTCACACTCAGGTTCACACACACACACACACACACACTCAGAATCACTCATGCACAGACTCACTCACACTCGGATTCACTTATGCACAGACTCACTCACTGGTGCACAGACTCACTCATACACCGACTCACTCACACTCAGATTCACGCATGCACAGACTCACTCACACTCAGATTCACCCGCAAGCAGACTTCTTCATGCACAGTCTCACTCACATTCAGATTCACTCATGCACAGGCTCACCCACACTCAAACTCACTAACACTCATCCTCACTCATAAACAGACACACTCACACTCAGATTCACACACACGCAAACTTGCCACACACCGATACACTCATACTCAGATTTTCTCCCACTCAGACTCACTCATACTCAGACTCATTCACGCACAGACTCACACACAGTCATATTCACTCATGCACAGACTCACTCACTCCGACTCAGTCATCCTCAGACTTACTCATACTCAGACACTCACACTCAGACTCGCCACACCCCTACTCACTCATATTCAGATGTACTCCGACACAGACTCAATCATACCCAGAGTCACTCATACCCAGATTCACTTACATTCAGACTCACTCCCACTCCGACTCACTCACACGCAGACTCTTTGGGAACGAGATGCACATATGGGGATCACCACGCAGTGAATAATTTTTTTCTTACCGCTGGCACCACACTCAAAACAGCATTAGTGCCAGCATTCCAGCATTCAGGCTCTGATCGTCTCAGAACACAAAAGACACACGCACGCCCTCCACACTCAAAATCGACTGATGTGGTGGAGGCGTTCTCAGGCCCGTCTACAAGCTGATCGTGTTCCGGCACTTCTGACTGGGCGCGACCGCCGCGGTGTGGTCGTCCATGCCGAGGATGCCGCCCACGACATAGCCTACACGCTTCAAATTGCGTACGAATACATTCAGGTAGACGATGCCACTCTTGGTGTGGCCATGCACGACCTTCAACTCCACCTTGCCGTATCGCAACCAACGCGGGTGCTTCTTCTTGGCAACACTGTTGGCGCTGAAGACACGGCCCTTGGTGCGAACCCATCTTCCCGTAAGGTTCACCGACTGGAAGTACACGTCCGCGCACGCCGCGCCCATCTGCCGCGCCTCCGCCTCGACGCTTAGAAGGGCGGCATTGCGCTGGGCGCCCCGCGGAACCCGCACCAGCGTGTGCCATCCCTCCCTGTGGAGGTCGAATCGCTGTCCGAACAGGTTGGTGAGGTGAGGATCACCTGTCGCGCTCACCGTGGGGCTGGCCGTCGGGCTCGGGGTCGGGCTTGCCGTGGGGCTGGCCGTCGGGCTCGCGGTCGGGCTCGCGGTCGGGCTCGCTGTCGGGCTCGCCGTGGGGCTGGCCGTCGGGCTCGGGGTCGGGCTTGCCGTGGGGCTGGCCGTCGGGCTCGCGGTCGGGCTCGCGGTCGGGCTCGCTGTCGGGCTCGCCGTGGGGCTGGCCGTCGGGCTCGGGGTCGGGCTTGCCGTGGGGCTGGCCGTCGGGCTCGCGGTCGGGCTCGCGGTCGGGCTCGCTGTCGGGCTCGCCGTGGGGCTGGGCGTCGGCGCGGGCGTTGGTGCCGGCGTAGGCGCCAGCGTCGGTACCGGCGTTGGTGCCGGCGTCGGGTCCCGTTGGAGGGCATATGAAGACACTCCCGCTGCCGTAGCGCATGAGTCCAAGTCCACTTGGTGTCGCAGATAGCAGCTATTTGCCGTCTCAATATACGTGATACCGTCGCATCCCACTGAAGCCTCACACGACTGCTTGCACGCATCGACACTGATCGTCGTGTACGTGGTCCGGGGGCAACAATCATGCACCTGCGCACCTGCACCAGGCCTCAAGTCAGCTCCAGTCCCAGGCGGATAACAATTTGTCGACGACGCCGCGTCCGTCCAAATGGTTCCGCCAGCCTGCGCCGTGAAATCAGTCCGTAGCGTTGCCGCCTCTAAACCGTCCGGCCCATGCAGCACTGACACCTGCATAAGCTGCATTGCGGCGCCCACAGTGCAAGCGAGCGCAAGTGCCCCCGCAGAAATCAATACGCGTACCATTGCTGAATCAATGAATGTTCAGTTGCGATGTGAGAAAGCGAAGAAGTCACCTTGAGTCAAAATGGCTACGGAAACCCTGCTCCGTCTGGGATGGTGTCCAAGGCCGAGGGCACTCCTCGGTGCGAGCGTGGCCGTCACGGCGGCGGCGCAGGGCGCAGGGCTACAAGAGGGACGCCTGATCAACGGCCGCAGCGTGGACGGGCTTCGGCTCGCCCCGGGGCCCAAGACCACGCGAATCTCCAGTGGCAGCGAATTGCTCACTGTCCACGTGCGTCCGCCGTCATGATCGCCCTGCTCTCGCCAGCCTGCCTGCGACGCCTTCGGCGAGGGGCGCGCGTCTGTTGGGGCGGGGTCGCCCCGCCACACCGCTGCAACTTGCACGCGGCCGTGTTCGTGCTGGGCGAGGTGGCACGCCCGATGAGAAAGGTCGACTCTGTCGCTTCCAAGCTGTACGGCCTCGAGTATGGCATGGGAGAGTGTGGACACGGCTCCGAGGGGCTGTTCGAGGATGCGATTGGCACCGAAGGCAACGACCTGGAGAAGGATGGAAAACATGAGAACTTCAACAGCAGGTCAAGGGCTTCAGCTTCGAGCGCAACAGTGCCGCATACTCTGGGGAGCCGAGCAGTGCCGCGGGCGCACCCAGGGGAACGGCCGTGGTGATTGGTGTGTGGAAAACCGGAATCACAAACAGAAGGCTGGCAATGCCACGACACACACTGAAGAGTCGAGGCAATTGACAGCTTCAGGCTTGAAGGTGGCTGCGGCCACCCTCCCTGATGGGAGGTGGCCACCCATGGTGAAAGCTCTTCGGCAGGATCGACGGACTCCGACCAGGACACAGCATCAGGGGTAGAGCAGGTGAGGTATACTGTGGCACAGCAAGCACTCCAAGGCGAATCATTGCACATGGCGCCGCACATCGGCATGAACAAGAACCAAAGATGAGCACGGCAAGCGATGAGACAAGCATGGTGGCTGAACCTTGCGCACCACTCGCCCCACGTGGGTGAAGCTGTCCTAGAGCTTCGCGACAAGTACTGCTCGAAGGGTGGCTAATGTGCCCGAGTGAAGGGGCCCTGGGACACACTCATAAATAGACACAAACAACCGGATTCCCGCTATTTTCCTTTATGTTCTGGGTTGTTGTCTTCCCCCCCCACTTCCCAAATGTTCCCATATTTTTTCTGAGGAATCGACGATAAAATTGTGTCTGTGCGTTTTTTCTCCCCTCCTGAGACAGGTGCTGCTCGCAGGGTGGCTCGTGTGCCCGAGGGCGACACGAACGGTGCCTTCCCCCTGCGTGGGCGGCCCGCCGGGACACCGTCCCCGAGGGCTACACGATGCCGTCGAGTCAGGGCGAAGACCGGAGGGCGCCAGTTATACACCCGCACCGATCCAGACCAGGCCCACTCCGGGCCCAGGGTCGGTCTATACGCCCCCTCTCTGGCCTCGCGAGGAAGGCATATATATATATATATATATATATACACCGATCTTGGGCCCACCGTGGGCCTGGCCAGGATCGGTGCAGGTGTATAGTTGGCGCTCTCCGACGAGGATTGCGGCAACCTCCTCATCGGAGCGCTGTTGCGGTGGCTCCAGATCTGACATGGTGCCCGAGTTCGGCAAGAGGCAAGACGAGGAGGGAGGAGGAAGGGAGCAAGGGGAGGACGGCAGAGGACAGACGCGCTAACAGGACGAACGGGGAGCCTGCACATGTTAGATTGCGAGGGCGGCGGGTCGCTTCCAAGGCCGACACATATTCCGAAGGGCACCCGTCCATGTCCTGCTTGCTGCTTGGTTCTCGTCGCCGCAACCAGCCCACTTCTCGTCATCAACGTCATCCTAGTCATCCTCCTCGTCCTCACCACGTCTGTTCCCTGCTGGCGCTCCTGTTCCTCCTCATCCTCCTCCTCCTCGCACTCCTTCTCCTCGCCCTCCTCCCTCCTCCCTGACTGGGCTTGGATCAACGGGCCGGACATCAGGCCAGTCTGCCCAGGGAGCACCCAACACAGCGATACGCACAGATGTATCATGCTGTTGTCATCGCGCTCCTTCTCGGCGAAAGTCTTCTGGATGGCCCTTGCTTTCTCCTGCGCTGTGACGCGCATGGGCTGCTTGAGGGGCGGGCAATACCAATGACGCACTAACGGGAGGACAGACGAGAGATAAGCGGCCAAGATGAACCGAGGGCACGGCAGGGTAGCAAAGCACGGCAGCATTCAGCACTGTGAAGGATGCGAGGCAGGAGTCAAGTACATGCAGGAGGAACTAGGCAATTCCCAGAACCATGGGCAGGGAGGGTGCAGACGGGCAGGGGGAGAGACAGCAATCAAGGATCTCAGGATACCTCCAGAGGCCACCAAAGATGCCCAAAAGATTCGACCCTCGACCCTCAACCCTCGACCGACGACGCTCGGACACGGGATGCAAACCGCGGGGAGGCCAGCGGCTCCCGGGGGGCGAAAACGGCGCCCGGAAGCCGACACGCAGAGAGCCCCCTCGTCGTGAGTGACGATGAGTGGTCAGGGAAGAATTTGCTCAAGATCGGTGCCACGAAACGTTGCCCCCCTTCACGAGGTCCATCCCTGTCCCGTTTCCCGAGCTGCGTCCAGCCGTGGCCACGGGGGAGCCCACGGAGGACGAACAACGAGGAGGGGGGGAAACGTCAGGATTGAAACATGAGTCTCCGCCGGCGTCTTTGTCGTGGGAAGGGGCGGAGGAGGAGGAAGAGGAAGCCAAAGGGACAGAACATGATCATCAGACAAAAGTAACAGCGAGAAAAACAAAATCCACCGGCCCCCGTGTGGGGCCACCAGGCTGTAGGCTGAGGGCTCGCTGTTCCCTGCACCAGTTCCAATTTCCAGTTCCCACTGTTACGGTATTGCTGTATGCTGCTGAATGTTCCTTATTGTAGACCGCGCGATGGGGGAGGAGCAGAAAACCAGCAAACCTAGTATCTCCTGGGAGGGTTCTCAGAATTTCTGGGAAGCCGAATTTGACACCCCCCACGCAGATCGGCGGGGTCAGGGTCCAAAAACACATGGGATTTGCCACATTTCTAAAATTCGGTGGCACCCCTCACGCAGATCGGCGGAGTCAGGGTCGAAAAAAAGAAAGAGTGCCACAATTCTGAAATTCGGCGACACCCCTCACGCAGATCGGCGGAATCAGGGTCGAAAAACCAATGGGATTTGCAACATTTCTGAAATTCGGCGACACTCCACACGCAGATCGGCACAATCAGGGTCGAAAAACCAATGGGAAATGCCACATTTCTGAAATTCGGCGGCACCCCTCACGCAGATCGGCGGAGTCAGGGTCGAAAAACCTATGGACTTGCCACAATTCTGCAATTCGGCGACACCCCTCACGCAGATCGGCGGAGTCAGGGTCGAAAAACCCAAAGGATTTGCCACATTTCTGAAATTCGACGGCACCCCTCACGCAGATCGGCGGAGTCAGGGACAAAAAATCCAAAGGATTTGCCACAATTTTGAATTTCGGCGGCACCCCTCACGCAGATCGGCGGAGTCGGGGTCGAAGAACCTATTGGATTTGCTACAATTCTGAAATTCGGCGGCACCCCTCACGCAGATCAGCGGAATCAGGGTCGAAAAAACCATGTGATTTGCCACATTCGGAGGCTACTAGGATAACGCAAACGTCCCAATATGCGCTGATGATTCCTTTCCGCCCCCGCATGATGTTCCCAGATGCGCCAAGGCAGCGCCGAGACGCACCGACGCGACTCTGCTAGATCCATGATGATAGAGAAGGGGCCGGCGGCAGGGGGCGAAGCCCTTACGGATAATCAGGTTCGGATGTGTACCATGCTCGACTTGGATGTGTACCATGCTCGGTCCAACGAGCAGACGCCACAACGCATGCACCGACCCCGTCGGGCAGAGTACCACGTGCCGGGCACAATGCTTCCCGTGTTGACGGGATGCCAGCGGACCAGCACAGGCCGCCCTCGAAGCCTCAAGGCTACATCCGAAGCCGCCCCTCGCACGGGTAGCGCCCTGGCCTTCTCCGTGGACGCCCAGCCCGAGGAACCGGCGACTGCGAGTGCGACACGACGGCGGCGGCGGCGGCGACGTCGACGACAACGACGACGACGACGGCGACGACGACGACGACGGCGGCGGCGGTGGAGGCGGCGACGCCGGCGGAGGTTTTGACGACGACGGCGGCGAAAGTCAACCCATCCTTGGCCACTTTCACTGGCCGCGCCCCCCTCGAAAAGCCTCGAAACGGAGTTCCAAGGACCTTGCATCCTCATCAGGCGTCGAGGGCTGTGCGTCGAGGACGACGGCGGCGACGCTGGCAGCGGTGACGACGACGACGACGACGACGACGACGACGACGACGGACGACGACGACGACGACGACGACGACGACGACGACGGCGACAACGGCGCGACGGCGGCGAAGACGGCAGCGACGTCAACGACGACAACGGCCTGAGCGGCCAGGCGACGGGCCTGCAGCAGCGGCCCCATCTTGTCCAGGTGCAGGTCCCGGATCTCCTCGCGAGCGGTCGCGCGCGCGCGGGCGCAAGCGCCGCGAGGAGACGTCGCCGTCGCCGACGAGGGCGAGGGCGTCGTCGTCAGAGGGGGAGGCGGGGGAGCGGAGAAAGGAGGGGTGGAGATGTTCAGCGTCTGGGAGGGGCTCGAAATACACGCCTACCAAGTCGTCTGGTCGGCCAAAGAGCTCGGTGCATGGAAGCCCCAGCTGCCCGACCTGTGGGGCGCTGGAACGTATATACATCGACTTCCTTCGCCGAACTCCTTGGCTCTTTGGCCGACCAAACGACGTAGCGTATGCATCGAGCCCCTCCGACAGTCCTCGACGGCTTTAAGGAGGCCTCCAGTTGTTCCCGCCAAGGGCCTACGTCGCGACACTTCCACCGCGTGGGCCCTGGGGGTAGCTCTCGGCCGCGTCCACGGGATGAGCTCCTCGGCCGCATCCCCGGGATCAGTCCTTCCCGGCTTCACGCAAGAGCGACCAAGCAAGAGTGTCCTTTGGCGCGCGGTGCAGGAGTCCGCGGGGCGGCCAACTCCAGGCGCGCAAGCCAGAGCTGGGGGGAACCCTGTGGGCCCGCACCAAAGGTCACTCCGGCGAGGGGTCACTCTTACGGTAGCCGATTTCTCGACCGTCCGTTTTCGTTAGATCCTTGGCGACCGATGGTGGCTCCCAGAAGCCGGAATTGAGGACACGAGAACGACACACGCGCGCACAGCAACATGATTGGACCCGCTTGGGATTCGCACTCCAACGCGGCATGCTGCAAAGTGCTTCTGGCACTCGGGACCAAAAGGCTCTTCACCAATTTGGGGTCGAGGATCTACGACACTTCGAGAAACGCCAACGTGACAAGTTGCATGTCAGCCGCTTGCGGAGAGGATAAACGCACGTCTCAGCCGTTCACGGCGCCTGGATGTCAAGGGAAGAGGAGATGTCGCCAGGTCTGCCGCAAACTCCAGGTGCTCTCGAACGTTTCCAAATGTCCTCTGGCACTTTCTCGGCGGCCCTCTGGTATGACTGGAAAAAAAACAGCCTCGTCAACCTTTCTATGCTCCGGCTCTCCTGTTTCATCATCATCATCATCATCATCATCATCATCATCATCATCATCATCATCAGCATCATCATTGTCATCACCACCACCATGATTATCATGATCGTCGGAAACAGAATCAACATCATCATCATAACCAACAACAGCCGGATCAACAGCATCATCAGCATCCGTAACATCGTCGTCGTCCGTCGTCGTCGACGCCGTCTCAAAATTTCATCGTCGTCATCATCAACTGCAACAGCCGCAGCAGTACCACCGTCATGATCAGCATGATGGCATGCCTCGCAACCATCAGTAGCAATGTCAAAATCAGTATGAGCACAACCGTATCATCACCACCGCCACCCTAATAATAAGAATAAGACAAAAATCCTCATCATCATCACTATCATCATCGTCATCAATATCAGCATCGTCATCACAGCATCATCAGCATCATCACAATCACCACCATCACAAATACCACCACCACCATCACAATACGTATCATCATTACAATACGTATCATCATCAGTGTCAGCATCATCACAATACCTATCATCACAATTGCTTCGTTTCCCATCATCACAATACGTATCATCAGTGTCAGCATCATCAGCATCATCAACATTGACGATGACACTGCTGCTGATGATGATGAGTATGATGATCATGCTAATGATATTGAGGGGGAAAGTGGAGGCACGATGAGGTGGAGACGGATGAGATATGATGATGGTCATGATGAGGAGGAGGGCGCGGGGATGAGCAGGAGGGGCGGCGGTGAGAGCGATTGCGAGAACGAACGGTGAGAAGAAAGAAGGGAGAGAGCGGAGGCGATGAGGGAGGATGGGAGAAGGTGATGAAACGCACCAGAATGGGAGGACGTGAAGGACACAATACGAAGAGACGTGGAAAGCAGCGAACACAAAACAAACTGATCTCAAGGCAATGGGGGAAGAAGAACGAGGGCGGAAAGACGAAAGGAGGAGCGAAGGAGGAGCTGCGAAGAAACGCGGAAACCACCCAGGCCTCTATGCAGGCTGAAGCACCTCCTCAGATTCCTCCTACTCATCATCACCATCACCATCACCATCACCATCACAACAACCGCAACCACCAGCACCATCATCATCCTCATCATGATAGTCCTCATCATCATCAGCATCAGCATCTTGATCATCATAATCAGCATCATGATCAACATCACCATCACCATCATCATCATCATCATCATCATCATCATCATCATCATCATCATCATCATCATCATCAGCATCGACAACATCATCATCATCATCAACAGCATCATCAGCATCAACATCAGCATCATCGTCATCCGCATAAACACCACCACCATCATCAGCATCATCATCATCAGCGGCAGCAGCTCATCACCATGGTTGCCAGTATCATCATCATCAGCATCAGCATCAGCATTATCAGCATCATCATCAACATCATCAGTATCCTCATCATCATCATCATCATCATCATCATCATCATCATCATCATCATCATCATCATCATCACCATCCGCCACATCCATCCTCGTCCTCCTCCTCCTCCTCTTCCTCATCCTCGTACTCCCCCCTTCTCTCACCCAATGTCCTCCCTCCAGGCGCGTTCCCCTCATCCGCATCCCCCTCCCCCACCCCCTCCCCTTTCTCCTCCTCACCCCTCCTCCCTCCCCCTCACCCTCCTCCCGCTTTTTCGAGTGCGGGAGCGCTCGACGCCGACCACGGCGACCGCAGCGAGGGGGCCATCCTGGAAGAAGGGGTCGTCGGGCGACAGCCGCACCGTCTTGCTCTGCTCCTGGGAACCACGGCCCGCAACGCTCTCCGTCCCCCTCCTCCTACTCATGCTTCGCGTGCTCGTCCTATCCCGTACTCCTGCCGCCTCCTCCTGCTGTAAGGTAATCCTTGTCCCCGTAACCCCGTCATCATCATCGTTATTGTCGTCGTCGCCGTCGTAATCATTCGCCGCCGCAATATACCCCCTGGGTATGATTGTCATCAACCGCATCATCATCGCCCTCCTCCTGTTCATCGTCCCCCTCATTCTCGCCCGCCGGCATGACAATCACCACCACCACCATCATCACCACCTTCGTCATCTTTACCATCCGCACCCGCATCGTTATTACCCTCACTGGCACCATCATCCGACACACCGCCGCTGGCAGCATTGGCATCATCACCGCCATCACAATGACCACCATCACCAGCATCCCCCCAACGCCAATATTAGCACGATAGCAATCAACACCAACATCATCAACGTCACAATCCTCACCATACTCAACACCATCATCAGCAGTACCATCACCTGCATATCTCACCAGTGGAATCGCCAACAGCACCGCCATCACGAACACGACCTGCACCACCATCAACATTTCTACCATTGTCATCATCAGGGACACAGGACCAGCGAAATGGAACATCCTAAAGCGTTGTCCGCCTTAGTCGTCACCCCCTCTCCTCTGCATGCTTCCTCATGTCCGCGTCGTCGAATTTCTTCCAACTCATCCTGCCACACACACACACACACACGCACACCATCCCCCTAATCGTTCCTCGTTGCTCGTGTTCCCACTGCTTCTCTTCATGCGTCCCCATCATCATCACCGACGAAAAACCCCGAGCAAGCACATAGACCCATTCCTCCTCATCTTCCTGGCTCACAAGTTGCGGTGGGGGGGGGGGCAAAACGAAAGGAGGACGCATCACAGGCCACGGGAATACCGAAAAAGGCAAAAACGCGCCCAGATACATTGATACCCGATCATCCTCGGACCGTCACCCTCGATCCTCCACTTCCTTCTCCCCACCATTCGTTGTCATGCCCCCTCTCCAACCCTTGTCTCTCCTGCCACAACAGTTATTTGCCAGAAATGTATATCCAATGGTGTGTAGTTTGCTTTGGTACGCTAATATGATATCCACTCCCTGTGGTTGGCGCGCTCATGGTTGATAAGGCTCGTTAACAGTAACCCGTTAAACAATGGCAACGATAAGTGACTGCATGTAAATGTGCGCCCGACCCAAGACAGGGGAGGGCGCGCGCTCTTTTGCTTCGCAGCCAAAAGAGCTGCGGGTCGCGCGACGACTCACGCAACGACCAACAATTCGACGACAGCAAAGCGGTGGCGGCTGCGAGAGGGGGCAGGGAAGGAGCGCATTGACTCCTACCGCGGGAAGTTGCGTAGGCCCCACAACATCTCCCTTCGGAGTCGCCAAACTTCGCGCAACCCCTGGGCACATTGGTGCCCCTGCCGCCAACCTGACAACAGAAAAAAATGGCGCGCGGAGTCGGATCGCAACTGCTCCTGGCCAAACCGGGGAAGCGGGCCGAAAGCGGACTAGCGCACCCCAGACATCACAGGGCACGCCAGCTCAGCATGAGTCACGGGCTCGGGCTCAGATCCCCGACCTTTTCCATCAGATAGCCGCCGAGCAATGCATGGTCAAACCGCGCGTCGCCGCGGTCATGCACATCTTTTCGCGAGGCGAGCCATGAAATCAAAAGCCCCTCATCATTCATCGCCAGTCGCCGACGCAATCTCGATTGCCGAGCGACTTCCCACTTGCATACGACGTCACTCGATTCCCTAGGACAATTTCCCTGTCCTCGTTCCTGTCGATGAAATTTTGAAAGACCGAGTGCAGTCGCGAGAGGCCCACTGTTCCCATATACGCCGACTCTGGCGATGCAAGCAGAATCCATCTCCAGCACAGCAATGTTTGTTTGTGCCCCAATATTCAATCTCCTTGTTAGCATATTCTCTCTGGATGCGTTCACCTACCTGCCTCTGACAGTCGACGCAGCGGAGGGGGCGGCAGCGGGTGGACGGACCACTGGAAGGTTCATAGCACCAACTTGCACGGCTGCAAGTCGCCGCGCCATTGGCGGCGGCGGCGCGCCGCCTCCAGCAAGAGCGGCCTTGCTGCCGCGGGCCCCAAGCGAGCCGGCGGCGGCGGCGGCCCGGGCAACTTCGGGGCCCGCGTCGCCGACGCGGGAACAGCCGACGGTTCAGACGCATCAGCCCTGGGCTCGCGACCGCTGGCTGAACGGGCAGCCGCGCTTCGGAAATCATCGCCTTGCGCGGCGCCGCCCAACGCCGACGCGCCACCGCTGACTGCGTCAGCAGCGGGGCCAGGCATAGATGCATGAGACGGGCCAGGCATAACCGCCGAACGCGCGCCACCGGCAGAGCCGGCAGCGCATCCTGCGCCCGCCGCATTCACGACGCCGTCCACTCTCACAATAGCCCTTTCAACATTATCATGCACTACTCTGTCCGCATCCTCGGCTAAGCCGACAGCGGGCAGTCCCGAATCCTTACGATCGCGAATCACACCGAAGGCCATTGCGGCGGCATTCTCGCCGCGGAGTGCGGCGCCCTCGCCCGTCGTCTCCTCGGCCCAAATAAACCGTGGTCCGAGTTCAGCAACGCGCGCGCGAATCGGGGGGGCGAGAGATCGCACCTCGGACGGAGTCCACGCGACAGGTTCTCAATGTTATCTCGGTCGACTGCCCAAGCATCGACCCCCCACTGTTCAGGGCAATGCTCAACGCCGAACGCCCCCGCACACACGCACACGCACACACACACACACACACACACACACACACACACACGCACACACCTTTCGACATCTCCCTCAGGGGGCGCCACATAGCGGCCCTCCGAGATGTATTGCGCAGTAAATTCCCGGATGATCGCAAGCACTCGTAGAACCGGAACTCAAGAGGGAATCGAGTGGGAGTTGCTGCCCGGGCCTGATCGACGCGCCGCGTGAAATACTTCGAACGCTCCATCTTCCCATCGCAAGCGCCCGTTTCCTTCGCGCACTCCGCCACATACTGGGCAGCCAACTCTTCGGCGTGCTCGGCAGAGGCGGCGGCGCGCATCGCCGCTGCGGCGTCCTTCTCCAGATCCAGAGGCAGCGCGAATATCCCCCACTTCCCCTCGCGAAGGCCTCCTCCAGTTGTCTCACTCGCAAAGGGGGCACTGGGGGGAAAGACAGGGCGGGCCCATCGCCATTTTGGGCCGCGTCGCAGGGCGCGAAGTAGATCGGCGCCAGAGACTGTGCCCCTCGAGCGTCGCCCCTAACATGCGCCCACGGCAGCGACCCCCCCTGCCCGCGAGCCCCTCCGCCCGGCGGCAGCGGGCGCGGCGTCGCGCATCGCTCGCGCACATCCTGCGCTCGAGAAACCAATTTTCGAAAGGTCCCACGCGCGGAACATATGGTTCACGGCGCAAAGGAACGCGAGCAAGCGGACCATCGCCGGCCACGGGCCCGCGCAGCAATGGGCGCCAGGCCCCCAACCTAATCCCCTAGTCCGCGCCCCCGCGCGAATTTTGCGACGTTTCCGCGGCCCGCGGGCCCCTCGCCAAACATGGCGACCCCATTCCTTCCGCGAGGACGGGGTCGCCGGGCCGAGGGCCGCCTCAGGGGCGGGCCAGGGGGGGGGCCGTCTTCCACGCCACCTCCACCGGCTGAGACAGCGAGGAGGCGCCCCGCCCCCCCGACCCCTGACCGCCGGGCGGACGGGCAGCGCCGCGCCCGTCTAAACCGGAAACGGGCGCCGCGCTCTGAGACCCCGAGGAAAGGCCCTGGTTCTCGCCCGGCACTAGATCAATCGGATGAAGGGGGCATCGCAAGCGCTGGCCACGTCGGCGCCACGAACCCCATCCTCTCTCGCCATAGCAGGCGCACAGTTCCCTGCGCCGCTGGCCGAGCCTGAAGCGGGGAACCCTTCGCCCTGCCTTTGTTTCCTCGAAAGGAGGAACGCTTTTGTTTCTGCGATTCTCTAATGAGAATCGACGGGGGGCTGTCTGATAGCAACCAAACCCGGAAATTATCGATGTTCTGGTCAACGCACGTGGGCGCGCGTGGTTTTGCGCAGGCAGCACCCCCCCCCCGCTTCGATCGCGATCTCATTCTCCAGGAGAACGCAACCCACCAAAAACTGAAACAAGGCACGGCCCAGGCACGGCCCTCGGCCAGCTTAGCTGGCCGGGGCTCGGCGCCCCCCATGGCTCCACGCTACGGTTCTGCCCCTGTTCTCCGTCCCCGTCAACGCGCTTCGCCCCCCTCGGGGCAACCCGCGGGCGGCGCGTTCCCATCCCCCCGCGACTTTCGCCTGAAACGCTTGCCCGTGACTTAAACTGTGGCAAGTCTGCGCCGACAACCCCTGCCGCGACGACAACAGTCTGCGGTGCGCCCGCGGAAATGCAGCCCACCTCACGACTCGCGACGCGCGGCAGTAGCCACCGTCGCCAAGCGCGCCAGGGACGGGGTCAGGATGGGCCGCAGATTCGCAGCCAGGAGAACGACAGAACGCAGCCATCCGAAATCCCTCCCATGGCCGCGGGGGGCGCAACTACTCTGCCTCTGGTCGCTGCCGCGGCGAATGGATGACCTTCGGGTATACTGGGTTCTTTTTGTTTCATTGATCCTCCTCAGATTCTCTTTCCCCATTTGAATGTGACTTGGGATCTCGCCCCATGCCTCGATGAAGGCGGGGCTCTATGTGCCCGCCCCCAACTGGCGCGACGCCCCCTGCCCCCTTTCCTCGGTGAGCCGCCCCTGCTCGGCGTCAGCTTCGGCATCGGCCTTCCCCTGGAAACAGAGACTGCATCTCTCGACGCCAGCGCCAAGGTGGTCGCTGTAACGTGGCGCGCCGCGCCAGGCGCAGCGCCCCCGCGAAAACGACACACAAAAACTGCACTTCTCCAGCGGCAACCCACTCCTCCCCCAGGATGCCAGCAACAGCCGAGCGCGCCCGCTGCTGACCGACTGAGTCGGGGCAGCGGCGGGTGGAGAAGGGGACCGAACTCTCCTGGAAGGCCGCGCCCGAAAGTCTGCCACATGGGAAGCTCATCCGACTTGCGAGGACGGGAGGTAGCGTCCGCCGCCCCAGGTCGAACCTGGAGCGAGGTCATTTTGTCTTGATGTTCTGTCCTGCGCTTTGATGGGGGCAAGTCAAGATTCGTCTGTGAAAATGCATGCCTGGTTCAAGCATCTTTGATGTTCCTCTGCCCACCGATAACGATCTGCCCCTGAGAGACGCCTTCTGAATAACAGCATCGGCTCTCTCCCTACTCTGCTGCACAACATTCGCAGGCTGCGCCGATCTTAATTGAAGAACTGTCGCCACCTTCTGCTCGGAAGCAAACGCAGCCCATTGGGTCCGCTGTTTTTCGCTGCATATGACGTCATTTATCCGTTGTTGTTTCGACAGTAACTCTTTGTTCTTCCATGAATACCAGATTCGCAGACTCAGCAGTCTTCTTCTTATAAGATCCGACGTCTCTCAAATGTTTCGGTCCACCTTCTGAACAGCCATATATGCCGTCATTTGTTCGCACAGAAGTTCCTCCTTCGCTGCGGCCCTCTCCTGTTCTTTCTGCTGTCATGCCGTAATGATGAGGCGCTGGCTACTGCGTTCGTTCATGTCAACACAATCGCAACACAACTAGTTTGCATTACGATAGTTGCATGAGAAAGAACATGATCCACACGCTGGCCTCCGACAAAGGCCGTTCTCTTCGCCGGCCTTCCCAGGGCACTGGCTTTCAACCGTGATGGTGCAAGTGAGCCCTTGGGCCCAACAGGCAGCCTTAATCGATCGCATACTACAGTATTTGACGAGTTGCAAGAAGGGCTATCAGACCCCTTGCTGCCCCTCGAAATTGCACGACCTAGCATAGGCGAGCCACGATGGACAGGTCTCGAAGGAATCGGTAGCCGTAGAGGAGGGGGCACAGGATGCGTCTATCTCCTCCCTCGGTAATTGGGACAGCGAGACACCACCGCATGGCCCTCGGTTAGACAAAGAGTGAAAATTGATGTGTCATCTACCTCCATGCAATCGATAATTTGCCCTCGAAGCTTCTTCGGGAATGGAGCATATCCGGTCAGATCCGTGGAATGCTCGACTACGTCGAGTTCCTGGGGGCTCCCCACGTCAACCGGCGACTGGGAGACTGGCACAAGAGCCGCTTCCTCGTAGAAAGGCGCTCGAGATGCCAAAGGAAAGGTTAAACGGCCCCCTGAATCCCTACACCCTCTTGGCGAGTGGGAATGCGGTCAAATGCAGGACCACCGGTGCGACTGGTAGCCTCCGCACTGGTCGATGACGAACTGAGCGGGCGAATTTCAGAATCTATATGCGGTGACAATTCGCGACCAACGTCCCTTTCTCAGACCTCGAACTCTTAAGGTCGCGATTTGGCACGTGTATTAACGGCATTTCCATTGGCATCATGGGCAGCGTTCCGCCGCGCAGCTGGTTGACCGAGTCACTGTCACGCAAAGAACCAAACTTTCGGCGGGTCACCAGTTTTTTTGCCAAAATTACAAACGATTCGGACACATCCAATGGTTAGTGTTTTTGTTTTGTTTTGTTGCGCTACTTTATTTCCACTCCACGTTCATGGTCGGCATGGTTCCTTAACAGGTACCCGTTTACCAGCAGCGATGGTAAGTAAATGTACGTAGATGTGCACCGCACCCGAAGACAGGGGAGGGCGCGCATTCGTTTTTGTCGCTTCGCAATCCAAACAGCTGCGGGTCACGCGACGAGTCACGCGACGACAAAGTGTTCGACGGCAGCAAGGCGGTGGCGGCGGCGAGATCGGGCCGGGAGGATGCTGTATGAACTACGACACGGATGGGCATCCCGTCGCCCACCACTCCCAATTCATCCTCCTCCTCCTCCTCCTCCTCCTCCTCCTCCTCCTCCCCCTGCTCCTCCAAACCCCCCCCGCTCAAGATCTCGCTCGGGGGCACGGGCGGGTAGGCGCCTCGGACCACCCCGACGAGTCCACCTTGGCGACGTTGTTCTCGATCCCGAACGTCGAATCCACGAGCGCCTCTGGTCTGCGCTGGTCACCCTCTCCGGGTCCACCCGAGGCCCCGCCTGCGTACGCCTTCCTCCCTGCTCCGCACCGGTCGGTCGGTCGGGGCCCGAAGGCATTCGGAAGTGGCCGCCCAGGCCTGAGCGCAAGAAGAGCAAGTCGAGCTGGAAGGAAGCAGAGAGAAACAGCACGCAAGGGGAGATCCGAAAGTCGCCGCCGCCGTCTCCCCCCACCTCCTCCTCCCCCCCTCCCCCTCTTCCTTCCATCCTTTTTCCTTGTAAAGAAAGTTCCTCCCCGTCTGATCACCACGCGTGTCGGAAAGGCGGGGTGGGCGTTTTGCCTGAGACTTCATCCCCGTTTGCGGCCCCGAAGCTTCACCATTCCGACAAGTACACAGATGGAGGGGGAGGGACTTTTCAAATTGTGCCGTTCGCCTTGGCGCGCACTTTCGTCTCACACATGAAGGAGGAAAAAACACACGGTTGTCAAAATGCGCCTCTCGCCTTAGCGCCGCGAGCCTTCACTCGAAAAGGTTTCAACATAGACCAGAGAAAGGAAGCAAGCTTTCAACTGTGACACGAATAAAAAGGGCGGTTCATGTTCAACATGTGACTCTCGCTGTAGCGCCGCGCACAGTCGTCTCAGATGTCTACACCAGAATCACGGATGGAGGACAGGCCGCTTTCAAACTGTGGATGTCAACTTCGCGCCGCGCACATTCGCCCTACAGGGTTCCAGTCGTTCCATGAGTGGAGCACATGTCGGCTTAAACATGTGGCTCTCGCCCTAGCGCCGTGTACATTCGCCACAAATGCCTGAAGCAGTTACACGCTTGGAATGCGATTCCTTATCAAAAGGATTATGTCGTTTGAAAACCTGCACTCCTTACGATCAGGTGCGTGCAAATGTGCAACAGTTCCTTTGTCACACTGGTGCTATCGCTTGAGATGTCCTTTGGGTTAATGGCCAGGCGTGCAACATGGCAAATCAACATACGGGTTAACGGTGGCTCTTGTCATAGCGTGCCTCTGACTGAACATCTCATTGCATGTTACAATCTTACATCATCGCCGTCATTAGAGCTCAAGGCGTGGATGGCATCTCCTTCGGGGAAGGAAGCTCTCGCCTGAATTGCAGGACCATGGGTCGCTCGCCTTTCAAGGGGGCACTTCCCGCAGTGGAAAAAAAAACACCAGCCCTTTAAAGCGTGAATGGTTTAGCGAAACTCTTCTTCAAAGATTATTGTTCCCCTGCGGGGAGGGGGTTGCCCCTCCCCCTTCCCCATCTCCCTGTGGAGGTTCGCGAAGCGTTGGAGCGTCCATGATGGTATCGGCTAGAAAGCACAGATCATTGATTCTACTAAGCTGTTGGGCCCATGTTGGCCTCCTGGACGGGGGGGCGCCAAGTGGGACCCCGCACCCCTCGCTTCTTGGATGATGGCCCCAAGATGGCCTCCGAGGCTCCCAAGAGTATCTCAAGAAGGTCCCAAGAGGCGCTGAGGAGGCCTCAAGAGGCCCGCCAAACAGGTACCCAAGGGGCTCCCAAGAGACCCCGCAGATGCCATGAAAAGCTCCTCTGAGGCACCCAACACGCTCGATGAGCCCCGGAGGAGCGCCAAGAAGCCTCCAAGACGCGCCAAGGCGACCCCATGAAGCTTTCAAGAAACATCCGAAGAGACTCCGAGAGGCATCCAAGAGCTCATCCTCCTCTTCCGCCTGTTCCTCCTCATGCCTCCTCCTGGCCCTTGGAGTCATGATCAGGCTAACTTACTCTTCCAATGAATTCACATGTTCTGCCTGTTAGTTTCTCGGGCAGCATGCTCCTAGAGTGCGGCTGGACTCTGGGCTTCCCCTGGATGCGGGGTGGTGGCTCCTCCGTGTCAGCTCACCCTGCGTGTTACGTCAACCTTTGCCCCACCGTGGCTCGCCTCAGCTCCTCGCTTGCCCCAGCCAGCTCGCGCGTGCACTTCTGGCAGGCACATTCGCTCTGGTTCCCCGGAGGTGCCGATCTGAGATTGGCACTCCCAGCGGCCACGGTCCCAGGAGCCCGATGTCTGTTCACGCAGAGGTGGCCGCTAAAATTGTGGATGCCACCACAATGGACACTCTAACAGTCCTATCATTGAAATAATGCGTTTAACATGTGTAAAACATGTTCTAACAGTGTTTCAAGCATGTGCTTCAACATACCTAAAACACACGTGAAACATCTCTTAGACATCTGCAAATGAATTGGCAGCGCGCTTTCTCTCCATTGACCGTCCTCCTCAACGTTAAAAGCCCCAGCCCCTCCTCCTGCTCCTCCCCGAGGGGGCCGCCCCGGGCCGCCGCCCCGAGCAGGGCCCGCCCGCGCACCCCCCCCCCGAGGGGCAGGCCTGGTACGTGAACTGCGAGCACAGCACCGAGAACAGGTCCACCCTGAGGGCCCGCGCGCCCGGCCCCCCCTCTGGGGGCGAGGGCGAACTGGGGGGGACAGCAGAGGGGGCGGGGTTGAGAACCGGCTCACGCAGCTGCTCTTCCGGGCGCCGCCCGGCGCCGGGAGGCGCCCGTGTATCGAGAGGAAATGGGCCCGGAGGCGGGGCCGAAGCCAGCTGCACGCGGCAGATCTCGTAGCCCCCCCCTTGCCCAATCCGCCCCCCCTTCGTCCGGCCCGATCCCTCGGGGGCGAGGGCGAGCGGTGCACTCGAGCTCGAATTGGGGAAACGAGCTCCACACACCGACGCTTTTTTCCGGCCCTGCGCTGAAATTCGCACAGGAGCGCGGATGCTGGTGTCTACGGGATCCTGGTGTGCACATGTTTCGCTGTTTCCCCTGGAAAACAAGGAAAAGGTATACACCACACCACCCCGACGTCGTCCCCGACCCTCAAAAAGTCATGGGATTGAAAAAACAAAGCGCCACCAGAAATGTATACAGTTGGGCTGCTGAAAAAAGGAACGCTAAATAAAGAACGAAGCCCCTTCTTGGCCCTGTAAGCGCCTCCCTGCCCAGGAGGGCACGAGGAACAGCACTGGAGGAACCTGAGGAACATCGAGCCCCTTCCGAACCCAAACTGCTCCTTGTTTCAGCGTCTTGACTGTATGTTCCAGTTTCCGATGAATAGCACGAGTCCCTTCCGAGGGCCACGCTGCCTCAGGATTGTCGAAGGAATGGGTCGCTGACACACGGGATCGACCAGAGCACCCCCGCTTGGGCAGGGTCGGCCTACCCAGCAAACTTGACTGCAGGGGGGGGGGGGCCAGCTCAGCCAGCGCAGCCAGGTTCGCGCTTCGCGCGTCGCGCCTCGCGAAGCGCGAACAACATCGCTCTCTCGCGCCGATCCACTGGGGGAGGAGAGAGACGAGGAGGAGGAGGAGGATGAGGAATCGCGAAGTCTGAACCTCGAAACACTTTTGCGACGGCCCTTGGACCCGGGGGTGAAGCATCGTGCTGGGGTCGGAGATACACCACCGCTTGATCGGCGACAGCCACCCGATAGCGAAACCGGACGTTCCCTGGCGGGGTGGGCTCTCAGGCCGATATCGGCAACGACGGGGCGGTCGGGGCCGAAGGCTCCCCCCGGAGACCCTCTTCCCCCCCGGGCGTTGCCCCCGAGGGAGAGCCTCCTTCACGCGGGCAGGGGGCGGGCGCCTGGCGTGCGCAGGGCGCGTCTGGCGCTGACCCAGCGGAGCTGTGCCCGACAGACCCCAGGAGTCACAGCGGGAGGGAGAGGAGGAGGAGGAGCATGGGAGGAGGAGGACGGACGAGGAGGACGAGGACCGAGAGGGTGAGGTTCAGCGTCCTGGGGGCGAGCCCGTGCGCTGAGCCCGACATAGGCGGCATCCGCTGCCCCGAAGTAGGGCCGGGCGCGCGGGAGCGACGACAGGAGGGGAGCGAGAGCCAGATGGTGAGCTCTCGAGGAAACGAGGAAAGGAGGGGAAGGAGGGGAAGGAGGGGAGAAAACGAGGAAAACCAGCCAGGAGGGGAGCAAACGAGGAAAGGAGGGGAAGGAGCGGCGCCTGGCGGGGGAGAGCAGACGGGAGAGCGGACGGCGACCGCCCAAGAAAAGAGGAGAGAGGGGGGGGGGGGGGGGCGAGCCCGTCGGGCCCCTTTCGCGCCCGCCCGCCCAACATGGTGGACGTGACGCCCCGGGGGGCCCCACGAGCCCGGCCAGCACGGCGCGCCAAGTGCGCGCCGCGCTGTGCCTTCCAGCCGACGGCTGAACACGCTAAGTGTCCCAGATCTGTTGCCTGACGTGCCGAAAGCGTGCCGCTCGGTGAGGACCTCAATTCTTACTGGCAAGCGATCGATCACATCTCTGGCCTCTTCCCAGGCTTCCAGCAAGCCACCCTTCTCAATGCCATACCATTTCAATCGAACAGTTTCCAAGGAGTTCACCACAGGAGCCCAACAGGTTATCCGAAATTTGCTCGAGTGCAAGATGTCATCTTCTTGTCAGCCATGGTCTCCCTGACAAGCCCATCCCGTGTTCCTGTTAGTCCTGGTCTCTACCATGTGTTCAACATCGTTCGCAGCCGCCGCGAAAGCAATGCCTTCTTCCAGCGCTTCGATTCAGATAACCAATGACAGCATCTTGTCTAGCTCATGGAGTGACAGCCAGACAAGTCGGATTTGACAGCCCTCATGCCTTGCTGTGTCCAGAGCCAACCCCGTGAATTTCAGCCAGACCAGTCGGGTTTGCACCCTCAAGCCCTGCTGAGTCTATGGGCAGGAATCCCAATCCAGGGAGCACATTCCAGCATTGTTTTTGCAAATATGTGCGAACTCTGCTTCTATGCGTCTGGCACGGGCACGTCTTACTCACACCCTTCGTGTGGCAGAAGCTGTCTCTGTCGCAAATGCTCGTTGATGTCTTATGGTTTCAGACATGCCCTCGAATTACGCCGTCGGCTCCAGGAGATGGAGTACGTCCAAACCAAGCCCAATGGCAACGCACACCAGGCAATCGATGCAACGAATTGCGAGGTTCTCCAAAACGACGACGCCCAAACCGCCAAGCATCAGTCTTCCATTCTTCCTTGTCGACAAAGGCCCTGCCGTCGATGAAGAAAGCGTGGGGTAACGGATTCGCAGAACTTGAAACACAACACAACCCCAAGTCCCTCCTACTCATGTTTCTCCCCCCTACATCTCCTCATGCACCATCCCCCTCCTCCCCTTCCTCCTTCACCACCTCTGCCTCTTTCTCACACCTGCTGGGCGTCGTGAGACTCCTCCCTCCTCCTCCTCCTCCTCCTCCTCCTCCTCCTCCTCCTGCAAATGATCCTCCTCCTCCTCCTCCTCATCATCATCATCACCCTCCTCCACCTCCTCTTCCTCCTCCCCGCCTCTGAACCCTGCTCCCCCTCCTTCAACTCATCCTCATCATCAGTTTCCTCCTCCTTTTCCCCCTCCTCCTCCCTCTCCTCCTCCTCCTCCTCCTCCTCCTCCTCCTCCTCCTCCTCTCCTCCTCCTCCTCCTCCTCCTCCTCCTCCTCCTCCTCATCCTCCATTCCTTTACCTTATACATAACTTCTCCCTGTTGCACCCCGGGGCCAGTTTTTACGGAGGGCTGGACGTTTCGCCTGAGACGTCTTCACCATTTATGATTCTGAAGCTTAACAATTGGCAACAGCTTCACAGATGGAGGGCGGGTGGTTTTCAAAATGTGGCTCTCGCCTGAGCGCGGCGCACAGTCGTGCTATAAACTTGCAAGAGTTTCATAGGTTGAGGATGGGTCGTTCTCTAACTGTGGCTTTCTCCTGAGCGCGGCGCACACTCGTTATTAAACATGTGTAAGATCTTCACGGATTGAAGGAGGGTCGTTTTCAAACTGTGGCTCTCGCATTAGCGCCGCGCACATTCGCTTGCAAACTGTTTAAGGGTTTCACGGGTTCCCGTCATCAACGTACCATAATGGTGTTTTGGAAGGATTAAGGATTATGCGAGCGCAACGGTTTCGTTGATTCGCTGTGTTAAAATCATAGGAATGGCGTTCTGGCGCGATTCAGGATCGTCAAGACGCAACAGTCAGGTTGACCCCCTTGGAGAGCCTCTCAGAAAAGCTTCAGAACCCCTGTGGGAAACAGAAGAGTTCCTGGGGAACGCTTTACAACTGAACTCGAGGATTTCGGGACATCTTGAAGGAGGCCTGAAGGCATGTTTGGAAAAGGCGTGGGTCGGAAGAGCTTCTGAGCCTCGGGAAGGGACCAAGAAGAGGGAGCAGGAAGGGGAGGAGGAGGGAAAACTGGGGGGGAGGAGGACGCGGAGGTGGAGGAGGAGGAGAAGGAGGAGGAGGAGGAGGAGCAGGAAGACGACCACGACGAGGACAACGGGGTCGCCGCCGCGGGAAGCCACCTCCGAAATCAACGTCGCCCGTGGTTGATTATCTAGGAATGAATACTTATGTTCGTTATCTTCAGATGATATGGATTATTGCATGTCCTGTAAATGGATCGGGCTCGGCCCCCCCCGGCCGAATCACCATCTTTCCGGAATAATCAATCTAAACTTAATATTCCAACATTATGGACCAGTGTATATTTCAGTCCGGAACGTACTCTCAAACGGCGCCCCCCCAGGCTCAATCATTATCATTCCAGAATAATGACCCTGGGGTCAACATTCCGGGAACATTATGAATCCAGTTTTATAATCTCCTGGAGATAATGAATCGGGGTCAATATTCCGACATGAAAAACGTGGTGGGGAACCCGGGGGAAGGTGGGAAAATGATAATTTTCATTCCAGAATTACGAAAAACGGGTTCAGCATTCCCGGGACATTGTAAAGCCCAGTCAACATTCCCGGAACATTACGACACCAGGTTAATATGTTTTTGGGGTCGATATCCCCAGAACACGATAAACCAGGGTTTATAATGTTCCGGGGGGGACATTGTGAACCCCAGCCAATGTTCCTAGAACATTGAAACCCAGGTTCATAATGCTCCGGAGGGGACATTATGAACACAAGTCAATAATCCTGGAGCATTATAAACCCCGGTGAATATCTATTTGGGATACATCCTGTGCCGCGGGATCTCGGGCCGCCCCTGGCACGCGGAGCGCGCACGGGAGGCACCTGTGCAGATCTCCGACAATGCATGGTGCATTATTGAGGATCAGCGCTGGGGACTAGGAACCCCCAGGGCCTCTGGGAGTCTTGGATACAAGCCGAGGAAATATCGAGCGGGAGCGCCGTTGTTTGCAGTGGGACAATTTGAGGCGCCGAGGCGGGAGCGCCGGTCCGGAGTAAAAACGAGCACGACATATCGACCGGGAGCGCCGGTTGTGTGGGAAATCCGGATTTCGGCGGCGAGCAAGAACCCAGGTCCCGAATACTGAAGGAGGAAGCATCGAGCGGGAGCGTTGTTGTTGGGGGGCTGGTTTCGGCGCAGCCCTGAAACGCCTGAGTGCGAGCCTCGATTTCAAAGGAAAT